AGATTTTAGAAAACTTTTTGCAAATAAAGATTAATCTTGATAGGCGAGATGAAATCTGAAGATAGTCTCTTCTGTTTAGAAATCCATGTATGATTAGAAGGTACTTTTAAGGTACGTAATATAGGCCATGGTTCATGGTTATGAAAGAAATGGATAAGTATGTCCAAACAAGTGTTTAAGGGTTATTAAACCAAAGATCAATTGATTCTAATGCCTTTAATATTTTCTTGCTCAATTTGAATCTGCCCGTATGCGTTTCTCTTGATTTTTCTTTGGATGCTTCAAGATCTTCGAGTGAAGTGATTCTGGAATGATTGTGCTTGATCAATCTCATAGTTTGGAGTCTGATGCGCCATTTGACTTGAGGGAATCTTTACATGTGCTTCTTGTCCTTTTTTTCTTCACTTTTTCCTTTGTTTTTGTTTTTTATTTTCTCTTTGCTTTTTTCTTTGCTTTTCTTTCTTTTTTGTTTCTGTTCTCTTTTTGTTCTGATTGGATCTTCGCTCTTGGCATTTTACCTTTCGTATCTCCTCTGGATTGATATCTTCACTCATGTGAGCAGATTTCTTCCACCTTGCCCTCCAGTGTGGAGGGTGATCCTTGGTTAGGGTTGAATCAGAAGAAAATTAATATAGGCTCGAAAGGGGACAACAAGATATATATATATATATATATATATATATATATATGGATAAATGAAACAAAGCCATTCATCATCTCATACACAAAAGTCCTCGCAGAAGGGGTATCCCCAGGGGAATAGATTTTCAGGAATAATTTTTATTCACATGAAAACAATGGATGATAGAATTATTTTGAATTAATTATTATTTCTGCTTTTTGCTCCCAGCATGTCTCAATGTTCAGGCTCCTTGCGAGATTCCCCGAGTTGTGTCTTAGAAGAAGGCTCATATTCAAATGAACATTTTGCACTCAATGCCTTAGGTTTTATTGGTATAAAATGCCAGTTTTTCTTCGAAGAAGACGATGGTGTGACTTTATTGACTCAAAGGTATGGGTATGACTCTTTGTATCTCCATAAATTATTCTGGGTAAAGAATCGAGGGGTTTTTTGTTTTAGATATGATAAGAAAGGTCTAATCTTGCCATATGTCAAAAATCTATAATTCTTGAAGAATTAAAAGAATCTTTAATTCATTTAATATTCGAAGAACTAAAGATTAAAACTCGTTCAATTATTCCACCTTAGAATGTAGCATAAATTCAGTCGTTTAAAAGAGTAAACAAATATCAGAGACAAAATAAAAGCATTTTCAAACAAAACAATGATGTCATTGTAATGTGGTAGATGCCATGCCCCCATCCTTCTTCGATTGTCTATGCCCCATAATCCATCAAGTTATGGATCTTGCGTTTCAGTGCCTTGTAGTTTTCAGCGAAATGTCTGAAACTTACTATGTGGTAGTTGTACACGAGATCAACATCGTAACCCTTAGGATATGGGACTCTTTTCTCAGATCATCCTGGCAGGCTCAGTCCTACAACCAGCTGATTAGGCTCCCACTGTTCTAATTTCAGTTTTTTCTTTAATTGTTTAAATCTTGCTTCCATGTGATGTCATGTGGTTAAGACCACTTCATCGAATTCTCCATGAAGTAATTATGAAAATGTTTAGAAATGAAATGTAAATGCAAAATGCAAAAATACATGAAATGTTCGAAGCATTGATCCGAAAACATGTATGTTATTATAAATAATATTTATTGGGACAAAAGTGTTATTTCTTAATAGACAAAAACATCATGACAGCTTATGACAGGTTGACTAGTCTTTTGTCTTCGTCTGTCACCGGTTGAATACCCTGTCAAACCGCTCTGGCTTCTCTAGCTAAACCGTGCAAGTGACGAGCTGCTGTTTGTACTTGTTCCCAGAAGTATCAAATAACTGCATATCTGGATTTCATCCTTTGCTGAGCATGTTCTCTAATGTAAACGCCATTGGAGCTCTCCATCGATAGGAGCTATCCGAAGTTCATTTGTCTATTTCTTGAATTCGTCAGCAATGACCTCCAATTTCAACTATCGCTTTGTCATCTTGTTCTTGTTACCTTTGAAGGGACTCTCCATGATAGTAACCTTTTTCTCGTCTTGCCTCTGCAACCTTTGCCAACCCATTTTTGAAAAGTTGACTTTTGATGTACTTGATTGTGGGCACCACGTCTTCTTGATTGAATGTGACACCTAGTTGCCTTGCAGATTGTTCTCATTTTCGTCTCTTGTATTACAACCCCTTTATCCATTAATGCAAATTATTTATGTTTAACGAACACGTTTTTGTGGATCAGCACCTCTTGCATTATGTTATGAAAATGCAAATGCAATGCAAAAAATGATGAAAAAATGACACAAACAAAAGAAGGGAGATAAGTTAGTGTAAGCAAACAAAAAAGTGAAATTAGTTAGTATAGGTAAGACAATTGGTACAAATAAAAATGTCATTCAAATATGAATATAACACCTACCCCATCATGATATCTACCCAAACAAGCTTTAATTAAATAATATTCCTACCCGGACATGCTATCTACCCAAAATGATTTTTTCAAGAAATTAATCCTAACTGCATGGTATCTAGTTTGCATGATGTCATTCAACAAAATTTAAAGCAAAAGGAAAGGTTCAGAAACACTACTCCTTTGTGTACACTTAATTTGGTTACCTACTAATGGACAGAGGTTCGGTATGACTATACCTATGGTGACCGTTCTACAGTTCACTATATGCATGGTTTCAGCTATATGAGAAAAAAGGTAATCAAATTATCCTTGATGCCGGTGCCTCATTGGGCTGTCAAACCCTCAATCCTCACCCATTATAGGCTTAAGTGGATCGAGTTCAATTCGAGTGGATACATTCCCTTATGTCTATGCGGAGAATAAATTCACACGAAGACATAAGGTATATGAATCTCACATGTTACTTGTTAGGCCTGCATGGGGAATAAATTCTCACGAAGGCGTCGCTTTCACCCCCCACTTAGAAAGGGTTCAGAGCTCGGGTATAGAGCTTATGTTATGCACGTGATGTATGTGAGGAGGAACATTCAACCCTTTGACTCAAAAGGAAAACGAAACCACTCGACAAACTTGGAAAGATCTGAAAGAAAAGATTCAAATGTTAGTATGACAAATAAAAAAAATGAAACAATTAAAAACTTCAATAAAAGGATCATAGGTTAACTAAAGACTCGAACTCATAATTTCCACCAAACGACAATGTGTAAACGACTAACAGCCTGACTCTCTAAAAAGTCCCTAGCGAAGTTGCCAAGTTGTTATAACCATTTTTAGGTGGAACAATTATTTATTATTTAAAAGCGGTTACGACTTTTAATTTTACAAAATTGGCAGTTTTGAATTAATTTGGAATAAATTGGAAAGAGTCGCCATCGACCTTTGTGTTAGGTAGGTCGAATACCTAAAAACATTTTTTTAAAACAATTTTTAAAAAAAAATCATTTTTAAGATAAAAAGCTGGTCTGCGTTTACAAAGATTCGATTAAAACGGGTTCGGGAGTCGGTTACATGTGGGGAAGGATTAGCACCCCCACAACGCCTAAAATTGGTATTGTGTTGCCTACACGTTGTCATAAATAGTGGAAATCATGAATTGAATATAAAGTTAAAATATGATCCATTTATTGAAATTTAATTAATTTTCTTCAAATTAATTATTTAAAGAAAATCCTTTTACACAATTGATATTTATAAACTTAAAAGACCAAAATGGAAACTTAATGGATTAATTAGCAAAAACAGGAACTTAAAGGACTAAAGTATAAAATCAGAAACTTAAATGACTAAAATAGCAAAAAAAACATTTAAGGGACAAAATAATAATTAAAAAAAATAGAATCAAAATTACCAATATTAAAAAATACATGTACTAAAAATGGAAATAATCCATAAATAATAATTAATCTTAAATGCCCAAATAATGACTAAAATAAAATAACTAAAAATATTGGGACCAAAATCAAACATTAATAGACATGCAATAGTCAACTAGATAAGGACTAAAATAATCTAACATGAAAATACACAGCTTAATTATAAATAAAATAAGAAACGATGACTCATGCTTAAATAAAACCATAAAATATTTAAAGGTAAATAGGGACGAAAATAAAACATAATTAACATAAGAAATCAATACAAAAAATATTAAAAGTTTCATTGATGATAAGGATTTGAAAATTACAAACCATGGAGGGTCTACTTCACAAATATTCCATACATGAAGCATTAAAAAAATTTGCTTGGTATTTGGCCAGGAAACCAAACAATGCAGGGTGAGAACCCCTCCCTTTTCTTTTCTCATCATTTTCCTTCTCTCCCCCCGGTTCCTCCTTTTATGGTTGTAGGGTAGTGGTGGAAGTGTAGTGGACTAGTGGTGGAGTAGGTAAATGTTTTGGTAGGATTTGGTTTATTATTTTTTAATGGATTAGTGGATTTAGGTTAGATTATGATATTGGTAGGGTAAATATTTAGTTTATTTAGTGGTTTAAGTTATAATTAATAATTATAAATAATAATAATTAATAATATTTTTTAAATTCGAATTAAAATTTGTGTCTAAAATACTATTACTCAAATAAAGATCATGAAGTGAAAGAAATGGTCCTAAATACTATTTTAAAATTATTTTATGGCAGAATTTAGTTCATAAAAAGGCACGATTTTTAGTTTGCTGGCTCGAAATGAAAAACATGAAAAAGAAAATCAGGATTAAATCGAGTTAATGGAAACTAAATTGATAAACAAAGAGAACGAAACCCCGAAAATTTGATGCGTTTCCGATTAAACCGAAACTGAATTGGAGAATGATCATCTTCTGTTTTGATTTTTCTTCTACCTTCTTTTTACTCCCATTTCCCATAATGGTTTTCTTTTTTTAAGACTTTCTTCTTTTGGGAAAAATAGAATTTTTTCTCAATTTCTATAAAACCCTATAAGCTTATTTCTTTTGGCCAGGCACCTTCAGTTCGTTTCAATCATGGTGAGTTTTTCCCTTCATTCAATTTAAAGAAAGGTTTCTGGTTTTTTTTTTTTTACTTTACTCTCTTTTTCTTCAATTTTTATTTGCATTTTTCTTTATTAGTCTTATCGAATACAAGATAGTATATATTCGAAAAACTCTTTAGACATCATGTTCGAACCGAATACCTAATAACAACATTCTCTTAACCACCGAGGTTGTTTAGTTCATGTCATTTGCTTGATTTTGAATGAAATGAATCATGAGTTCTTTTTATCTTCTTAATTTCCTTTTTTATGGGTTTTACTGAGAATTCTTGGGTAGGTTTTTAACAAATTCAAGCACTGAGACGATTTGTTGGGCTTCGGGTTAGAGTAAAGAAGAGTCTTAGAACAGTATTTGATCTGAAAAGTAGGATCTTTTGTTGTTCTTCAACAGTAAAATTGCTTGGGCTAGTGATCTTTTCAATTCATACACAACTCCAGTTCTAATATTTTATGTTTCCTTAAGGTAATGATGGAATTGTAACTTGGATATATTGTTGATTTCATTACTGTGAATGTTTGAGCATACTTTAATGTTGGTTAAACTGGAACTGAGGTAGCAGCTTTGGCATGGAATCTTAGGAATCACTTTTTATTTGTCATGTGTATGTTGTTCAAAATTTTCTGTTTGTCTTTCGAAACATTTGGGAATCTTAGTTGAATGGTATCCGACTTGAATTTTGCTGAAGTTACTGAATTCATTTTCAGAAGCTTTGTGTTGAACTAGTTTGAAACTAAATTTGAATTCAAGTACCACGTTGGTCGATAACCCCACCTCCGGCACACACACTAATCCACCTTCGATCATTTTATATGGATTTCTTTTTTTCTATTTTTCTGCTATTTCAAATGCTACTTTTTTAAATTTTTTTGGTTTCTTCGCGCATTTCATCTTAAATGTACTTTGATTGTGGCTTGAAAGGTACCTTTCGCCAAACCATTGCATAATGCTATTTTTATTTTCTTGCTGTTGCAGTTTTCATATCCATGCTATGCACAGAGAAAAGATGCCAAAGAATGGAATAAAACTATATAATAAAAAAGACACAAAAATCTTCAACCATTCAAGTAATTTTATACTACTTGTTAGGAGAAAAAGGGAAAAATATCTCTATTTTTGTAATATTAGTTTCTTTATATATGAGAGAAAAACTGTTTTCCGGAAATTGGAAGAGACGTGGCTCTATTTTAAAGGTTTGAATAATTACATTTCAAGCCGATTGTTTACAGCGGGTAAAATGATTATAAGATATAGATCATTTAGAAAATGAATACTTTGATAAACAGGGATTGCTTCCCATCAGACTAATACATTTGGAGTAACTAGGGAGATATATATAAAGTGAGGATAACTAACACTTTAGTGAAATAATAATATTGTTATTTTACTTGGTTATGATTGATTTTTTCATTTACTTGCCTTTTTGCTGCATGTTGCGATCCTGACGAACTGTAAAGTTCTCTTTTGGATAAAAGAAGACAAATGTTGGTGATTAAATATTGTTTGTCCTTCCTGTTACGGAAGTGAATTCTGTGTTTGTCAAATGGTGTAGAATCTATTACCTCCCCTTCCAAAATGTTACTTTTACTCATCTCAATTGTCTGAATTTATATTGTTTGTAATTTGACGTCTGTTTGTCCTACTCATAATGGATTTAGCTTCTGTGATGTCATCAAAGTAGCGTTTTCGACCCTAGAAGTGGAATTTTAGCACAGTTAGCATCTAGTAACCACGTGCTTTTGGTTATTGCAGGGGACTGTATGTCAAACGTGTGGTGACCGGGGCTTCTCGGTGGCCTTGATTTACTGTGATAAGTGTCAGGCCTATGCTGTACATCGGTAAATGGCAACATTGCATTTATCTGATACTCAACATACTTGTTTTAGGAAGCATCACATGGACATGAAATCATATAGTTTTTATATTTTTTTTTAGTGTCAAAGGAAGAGTTTTATGATTTTTCTTGCGACTACTGTAATGATGAGACATGTTAGATTTGAGACTGCAGCATTTACCAATTTTTTAATTTGGCTCAGTAGGTTGAATCTTTATTAAACCTATTATTCTTTTATGTTTGTTTTTACTAATTTCCTCTTCTATAATGTTCTTTCCTCATCCAGTTATTGTCTATTTAAATTACCAAAAACTTTTGAGGAGCATGTTGTTTGGTTCTGCATCGACTGTGAACCGAAGGCTGTGGTATCCTCTAGTCTCCAGCAGGCTCTTGCTGCAACTGGTCCTCAATCAAGATTGAAGGACAGTATTGTTGGAAAATCAAAGAGGAAGGATGACATCAAGTTAAAGAAGAAGAAGAAGAAGAAGAGAAAGAAGAATACAAAGAAGAGTGAATATGACTTTGGCTCGTTGGCTGTATCAAATGTGCAAAGACAAAGTAGCCCTTTGCTTCAACCCCTTGAGAATCTTGAGAAAGATGAGACAAGAGGATCACCGATAGTGGGTGGGCCTAGCTCTAATGTAGAAGCTAGACTTACTGAAGCTAAAACTTCTTCTCCAAACTCTTGTTCACATTCAAGAGGATTTGATTGGATTAACATTGATGATGGAGCTGGATCTGTAAATAATAGTATGCCTCTTGTAGCCATCAATGAGCATTTAAACATCAGCGAGCATAACATTTCGTATGGGTGGAGGGAATTGGATGGAAAATATTCAGATGATGTGGCTGGACGCACTCATGCTGTAGCAACCAGTAAACAAATACCAAGTAAAATTTATGTACCTGCACAGCCAATATTTGAATCGATTTGGAGGTAAGCTTTTTGTTTTCTTTTTATATTTATGCTCATACATTGTTGGATAGAAGAAGCTCATGTGCCCCATTGTTTTTCTGACAGGGGAAGTTTTGATATCCCTGTTGAAAACCTTACCATTGGAGTTGTAGCCCATTTGTCTAGCTTAGCATGCTTGAAAGTTTGTGAGACGGCAGAATGCTTACCTCAATTGCTTCTCCTTGAATTGCTTCCAAGATGCGACGTGTGGCCAAAAGGTTTTGAGAAATCAGGGCCAAGTGATGAAAGTATTGCTCTTTATTTCTTTCCAAGTGATGAAAGGTGTTTTCTTATCTCAATGATGTCATCATCCTTGTCTGGTGCAGACTTCTGTACCTTCTTTTTTTTATAAAAGAAAAATCACATTTACAGGGAAGCAAAGATATTTGACATCCTAATAGATAAGATGATTGGCAAAGATCTTGGCATCAGAGCTGTAGTTGAAGATGTAGAGAACTCTTAGTTTACACGTCTTACTCGTTGCCTGTGAACTTTCAGAGTGAGTCTAGATATCCATTACCTCATGTTTAGTTTAAATGAACATAATCTAAGAGTGTTTGAACTTGGGATTGTTGAAAAAGAGCTGATCATTTATTTGGTTTGTACAGGGTTCCAGGGGAAGTTGTATTTTTGGGGTGTGTTTAGGGCAAAGCAACCTTCACATCTAATAAATGGTGAGGAGAAAAGCTGTGTGACGGGGGATTCATGCAGTCCCGTTAGTCCGTTATGTGATAATGGCAGCTCTCTTTTTGGGTATGGCAACTCCTGAATTGCTCATCTTTTGTTTCAAAGGGGTTGTGCATATGTAGATTAGAATGGATGGGGTAGGGATCTAAATGTTTTATCGAATGTTCCAACAACTTGAATGACAACATCTATGAAGTTCCCTAACTCTGTTAGGTTCTTGTCGTTATGAAATCCATTACAACATGTTATTTTAGGCATAATGACAAATTCAGACTTAAATATTCATATCATAATAAATTTTTAACTGTGGTGATGGATAATGGATCCAGAAATATTTGAGGGTGAGTAAAAATGAAATGTTTAGGTATCCAACCATATCTACCCAAAATGTCGATTATGACTCCGAAAGCTAAATATTCCGTTAAATTCAAGATTCCAATCGGGCTCAAGGAACATTCTAACAATTGCCCACAACCATTCTTATCTCCTTGCTTACTTTTCAGATCAACTGAGTAGGGTTCCAATTATTCATATCGAATCTATTGTTTCTTTCAACAATACTGCCTCTCCCAATAACATTACCAACTGCCATATAACTTTCGTTTTAAACTGCCCCAACAAGTTTGCTTAGATACAAGGATGTTCAGGTTTCGATTTTCGACAGTAGTAAATATTGCATTCTGAGGATTAGTTCGGAGAAGACGTTGGAGTGGTGACAGCTACAACAGGAAGTTGGTGGCACCAAGAGTTTTTTTTTCCAGACAATGAAAATAAAATGAAAGTAAAAAGAAGAAAATAAAAAGTAGATTTCAAGTTGGTTGGCGTAGTGATTATGTTACCAGTTTACACCCTTCATGCATTCGATCGAGTCGAATCAAGTCGAATAATTTCGAGTTATTCGAGTTGATGAGTCATATTTTATAACTCAAACTTGATTTGAAAATTTTTCGAGTTGAGTCAAATCTAGTTTCTAATTAAATTTATATGTAAATATTTATAATATTATGATACTATTTATTTCCAATTTAAACGATTTTTTATAGCCATATACAATACGTATATATATATTTTTATATTTTTCATATGATTTACATATCATACAGAATTAAGAGACTCGACTTAAACTTAAAAACTAATTTACTAATAACTAAAAATTTTGAGTTGTTCGAGTTTGTTACTACTTACCCATGCGACCCCCATATAAGAGAACCTCTCGTCCTACGATCCTCCATGATACCACTAACACGAACCTTAAGGGATGCGAATATTAGACCATACAACCTCCCGAACTCGCGTAAGAGCGTTTCACAAACAACCACATGTCAACCACCCACTCTACCTACGAACGCACCTCTGTCACATCATTGAACACCACGTGTCAATACCCGAGAATTTTAGTGATAACCATATACCCCTAGGATGTATAGTCAGAATCAGAGACATGACGGCTCCTAACTGGCGCCTATCCATGGCACTATAATTACTCGCTCCTTATAGAGCAAAAAGGATCGGGTCTCATCTTCCCCAACCAACCACCAACAACCCTAAGGTGATCGGAGCCCTCTCTAGAGCCTCACTTATCATACTTCCGGCCACCCTCCATGGTTGTTGATCATTTCACTCATCAATAGTTAGTGCGGTGAACGTGGAACTCCCCATCAAAAATGTATCAATCGCGATGGACCCTTCTAGCCAACCATTCCCTGAACCTATTTATCATAGAAAACTGCATTCAGACGTGGGTGGCCTAACAGACTATAAATCCTTTTTGGATTTTTATGACGCTTGGGATCACCCTTGCAATCATTTCCCCAACCATAATATCACCCAGACTTCAATTCTGATGAAAAAATCCCACGTGCACAACCCATAACCTCAAACATCGAAGATCTCAGTCAATAGGAGCAAGTTACTCATACCTTTAATACTCGAATCATCAAGACACCCCCTTCTAAAGTAGCCAGAGAAGTATCGAGGGATCATCCTGATGACGGGAGTATTGCATGAAATAAGGAAAATGATACTAATACAACGAGATTTTTCCCATCCAAGCCACGCAACGTCCCTTCTATCTCTCGCTTTGGGCAACAACAAATATGCATAGCCCCACGCCAATGCATAAACACTAATCGAGGAATATCTTGCAAAGAAACTGTCAATATTAATAGATTAGGGAGTGTTGAGCTACTGACGTGGGAGATTGGGGTAGCTGGTTTGTTGAGTTGAAGGTCTTTTGTACTAAATGTTTATTTGGTTCTGGTTGTAATCTTATGTTTGGTAATAAAATTTAGGCACTCTTTTCCCCTTCCCAATGATTATTGTGTTTCACAACACAATAATTTATTAAGGGGTTTTTTAATGGGGCCAATTCTTATCAAAAAAAAAAAACTGTCAATATACTCTAGTCTTCGTTCAAACCCTATGCTGACTCCATCAATCCCTAGAGAAACCATTCAAAAATCTCTACCTTAAGGATTGTTGATGGAAACTAAAGAACTAGTTGCAAAGTTCACAATGAAAAACCAAGCCCCAAATGAATATGGTGTACACAACCGTTATAGGCCAATGAATCTCCATTATTTCTAGAGGGAACGCTCCATACAATAGTGACAGAGCGACTGACGATGGTAAATTTAGAGTGTGTGCAGACATCAAATATGGATACAAAGCAAGAAGTGATTTGTTAATTAAATTTTCAATAAGAAGTTCCAAGCGAGTAGTCCTCAAACAACGTTAGATTTGCACACAATCAACAAACTTGAAAGAGGAAATACCAATATGAATGTTTGATGCTATCAGAATTGCTACAACATATACGCAAGTATACGTGACGATCAAGTAATAAAGTGGAAGCTTTTTAGGCTTCGGATGTCGAACCCACAAAGAGCAAGAGTATACAAAAGAGTTGTGCAGAAGAATAATGAAAATGTGATTGAAAGACTAAGAAACAATTATCATTAAGTAATGAAACCAAAGGATAAAAGTGTCAGGAATTGCTACAGCATTCAGGAGAGTAAAATGTCAATTATCGAATGGCCTAGGATCGAATTTGGCTATTTATACTACACTCATGCAACAAATTCCAATTTCATATGTCCATCAAAGATTAATGACACTTAATTAATAGAAATCAACTTTCATTAACTCAAGTAATTAAATAATTAAATAAGCTAGAAATTGGTAGCATGATTCTCAACATGCAGGATTGATTTAAATAAAAACCAATTCTGATCAAAAGCAGCATGAATCGTTAACAATATTCATTTCCAAATATCATCAATATTCCATACATAAAGACAACAATATTTCTAAAGTTATCTTGAAATTCAAAAGCATAGGAAATATAGAATCATATCATAAGATAATATAAACAAGCACAACTACTAAGTTTGTTACCAACATTCGTCCAAGACATGATAAAAACTCCCTAAACTAAGGCTACTTCCCTATCTCAGCTGAAGTGAGGTGATCCACTTTGGCTGCTGATGCTACTAAGCTTGCTTCTGTGTGCTACAGCTTTTCCTGGCGAGGAGTTTAAGCTACCATGGCGAGAGAAATATGAAGGGTTATGGAAAGGAGAAGGTGAAAATCTGATGATCAAATGTGCAAATGACCACTCTATTTATAGGTGAAGGGTGCCAAAGCTTTTCCAATGGGATTGTTCCACGTTTCAGGTGCTGATTAGAAGAATAACAGCTGTCCCAGCCAGCTGTTCTATTCCAGAGCGTTCTGCCAAGCACCTGGTAACTCATCGCTTGATGTAGCATTCGGTCCAATGCTGCAGCATTTTGCAGCTTTTTCAACAGAAAAACTAAAAATCAACCCAAGTTAACCAAATTCCTAATGATGCAAAATATATGCAAATATGACTAATTTAATCCTAAAATGCTTTTAAACATTCTAAAATTCAAGCTAAACCTAGGTACAAAAAATTAATATGATAACTCTTTTGGGGAGTAATCACACCCCCAAACCTAGATGCTTGCTTGTCCTCAAGAAATACTATGTATGTAATGCAACTAACTGAACAACAATACCACATATTAAAACCAATAACTCAATTCAACATTTAACTTCATTTTTCAGCCTTCAGTTCATTTTAAAACCAATAAATCAATTCAACATTTAACTTCATTTTTTAGCCTTTAGTTCATTTCTACAGTAATATATTCAACATTCATATAATCTTAAATTAGGAATTGCATTATTAACTCATCCAAATCAGAGTCCACAGCTTGCAAGTGTACAGGTTAGGTGTATCCAATCAATACTTAGTTAATTTAGAAAAATGTGAACCTCCCCAATTTATGATTTTCAATGCTATAGAAATTAACTTATTTCATTCTAATACTGGAGCCTGTGTTAGGCAACCTCCAACTTATTTTCACTCTTAATGTTGCTAGAGCCAGTCATGGGTACCTCTAGTTGAGTGTTTTTTTTAATCTAGAGCCAGTTTCGAGCACCTCTAGTTGAGACAATGCTATAGCATCTAATAAAGATGTGAGTCTAATTCAAAATTCCTAAGTTCTCTAAGTATTGAAAACATACACCTAAAGTAAGAAATTTTTCTATGTACCCTAATTCCAATAAGTTCCTAAACAATTCCATAGCATCTGAATCTCTAACTTATTCATCATTGGGCATCTTCAAAATTAATTAAAAGTTCCTTGATTTAATAATATTAATCTATGGTATTTTTCATGCAAATTTTAACAAAATGCTTCATGCAACACAAAATGCTTAACATATAACAATGCATATACTACTATGTAAACAATGCAAACAAAAACAAAATGACATACTTGTATTTGCACAACACTAATGTACAACACACCCCAAACTTAAGGTGTGCATTGCCCTCAATGCATAAAAATGAAAAATAAAGAGAAGGAGAACGAAACTCCCCTAAGTCGGTTTGCTTAGGCTTTTTTAGTTGAGACAATGTTACAACATCTAATAAAGATGTGAGTCTAATTCAAAAATTCCTAAATTCTCTAAGTAGTGAAAACATACACCTAAAGTAAGAAATTTTTCTATGTACCCTAATTCCAATAAGTTCCTAAACAATTCCATGGCATCTGATTCTCTAACTTATTCATCATTGGGCATTCTCAAAATTAGTTA